CACACACGTCGCTCGTATCAACTCACGTGCCCTTAACTTGTCACCTTTTTACCCTTCTTGACAAGTACGACGTTATTCTACGTTGGTATATGTAATAAAAATGTATATATATATATATATATGAGAAAATGCGTGATTTCACATGGAATTTCGCAAACGTAATTTTTTTTTTTTTTGTCAAGAACGTGTTTCACCTAAACCGAAAATGACAGAACGAAAATGTCAGACGATTTTAGTTTCTATTTCTCTTTCTTTCTAATTCACACGAATCTATCATATCTTTTGTATAATATTTTCTTTTATTATTTTCATTTTTTTTTGTGGTGTAGGGGAATTTTAATATTTTTTTGTAAGCAACTTTGTCCCTAAACTTGCTCATTATGCTTAATCAGGCAAATTTTCAAGCTTGACGGTTCCCCTCTTTCCCAATGTTGTGTTTCACAGAGATATAAAGTCTCCTTTCTTATGCTAGTGTCACGCACTTGCCAAAATTTCGTGACCGGTTAACGTGTCCATGGAATTACGAAACATATTTTCTCTCTCTCTCTCTCTCTCTCCCTCTCTCTCTCTCTCTTATCCATTTTAATTTGCATACGTGTGATAAGTATTTTCGAGAGTTAACCATTCTACCAATTCTTGTAGCAACCTTAGAAATAAAAAAAAAAAAGACAATAGGATATAATATTTTTTTGTTAATCGGCTTAACGATTGAACAAAACGAAAAAAAAAAAAAAAGGAGTTAAAGATTATTTTCGATTCCCTTAACGGCATTTTCCCTTAGAAACGGCACAAAGTTTCTCCATTAGGATGCGTGGCCGAACGTGGAAAACCACGGAACCATCCGTAAATCCAAAGCCATTTTCCATAGAACGAGGTAGAAGAAGAAGAGGTTGAAAGGGGGAAGGAGGGTGAAGACCTCGACCAATCCCGTTCCGGACAGTCGATTCGCTCGGTCGACCACTTGGAAAAAGTCCGACCACTTTGCCAGTAACCCCCTACCCATCCCCATTCAACCCCCATCCCCTTCAGTTACCAGCTCACCTTAAAACCCTCCTCTCGACACCCAAGCCACCCACTTTCTCTTCCATCCTGCGATCCTACGATCGTTTTCCACGCTTTCGTGAACCCTTTCTTCTCTCGTTCGAGTCTGCAACTTTCCAAAGTGGATGAAATCGTATATCGGTAAGCGAAGAAGATACCACCACCCACCCCTTCAAGGGAAATTTCGGTGTAAGCAATTTTCCATGGTCCAGAAAACGGACTGAGAACATAAAAACATATTAAATAAATAATCAAATACAAAAGACAACATCCTCTTAATTTCATTTAGCATTTTTCTCGATATGCTAATTAATTAATAAGCACTATTATAGTTTAATTCGTTTAGAATTTTAAAATAAAAGACGAATGGAATTGAAATAGGTGAATAGAAAAGAAAGGAAAATATAGAAATAAAAAAAGGGTTTGATTTGAAGCAGAAGAATAAAAAGAAGAAAAAAAAGGTTTTGAAAAGTGGGTGATAAAATGAATAAAAAAAAATTAAAAAAAAAAAAATACAAGATAGTATATTTGATCAAAAACGAATCACTATAGATAGGAAATAAGCGTGTCTTTCGTCAATGTTCGTTCATTCGATTCGGTTTAGTTCGGTTTCTTCTTCTTCTTCTTCTTCTTCTTCTTTCGTTTCCTGAATGCGAATGAGAACCTCCTCTCTCTCTCTCTCTTCTCCTCTCCCTATGCCCTTTCTCTCTTCTTCTAAGGGAAAAGGTGTACGAGTGTAAGAGAAATCGAAAGAAGAAGAAGAAAAAAAAAGATGAGAAAAAGAAAGAATCCACAGTGAAGAAGAAGAAGAAGAAGAAGAAAAAGGGTTTCCTTCGCGAACGTGAAAGTTGGTTGAAGCCCTGAGAACCCAGGGCCGTAGCAAGGAACCAGAACGGAAGGAAGGAAGGAAGGCTGCATTTATTAAACTGAACGCAGACGTACTACTATCTTTCTCTTTCTTTCCTATATTTCCCTTTTCGTGGCGCACCCTTGATTACTTCAATGTGTGTGTGTCCCTCCTTGGTGTTGTTTACGTGGGTGTTTGTGTTAGTGCGTAAAATAGTACCTCGATATACCCTCTTCATCACTCGTTCCTTTTTCTTTTTCTTTTCTTTCATTTCATCTATCTCTCTTGCACTAATACAATCTTTTCTTCCACGTGCAACTACCAACCTACATACATACATACATACATTTTTCTATATATCTGTGTATGTATGTATACACATATAAATGCACGCATAGAGTACATACACATACATATACATAGACATACATGCATACATACATACATACACACCCTTTCCATTCTTTCGAACGAGTTCCATCTTCTCTCGAAGTCGTTCGAAATTGAATGCCGGCGGTCGAGACTCCGACGATTCGACTTTCTGACTCTTCTAATATACTTTCACGTTTTCTCTCTTTCTTCATCTTCTTTTCATTCTTTATCTATTTCTTTTCCTTCCTTTCTTTCCTTCTTCTTATTCTTCTGCTCCTGCTACTGCTGCTGTTGTTTCAACTTTGTTTTTTTTTTTTTTTTTAATTTTTCACCAAGAAAGTCTCTGATTCTCACCTATACACAATACACCCGCATAAATACATGTACACGATACACATATACAAAAATCAATCTATTTATTAAATAAAATTACTTTTTTCTTATATCTAATAATAATAATTAATCAATCATTATAATTGTAAATCTTAAGTAATTTCTCATAGATAATTCTAATGTGTTTCTAACATGGAGTTTGTGTAATCCTACATAATTCTCTTAACCCTTTACGAAACAGTCAGAGAATTTGGGTGTTATCGTAGAGAAATGGTCCAACCTCACCAGTGTACCATCACCACCAGCATCCCACTGGTTTTGCTTCGCAATACATTGCCATACGATCGAACGTTGCAAACTATTCGTCCGAAGGCTTCGTTTAATCGTTCAACGAACTGGAGGATACGGAATCGTGTTGTTTCGATTATAACGAGCACTTGGCATACCAACGCTTATTGGAAATACAATACGAAACGTGGGATTCGAAAGCTCGAAGAAAGGGTGGGAGTGAAGGGTGGTAGTTGAGAATGGGATGAGTTGTTGTACCCTTTAACTTTGTACAATGGTTTATCTAACGTTAATTTCACATTAAGTTTCTTCATTGAACTTTCAACATTTTCTTTTGATATTGTTATCTATAGTAAATCTATTTATTTATTTATTTATTTGTTTTTTCATTATTTTATAAGGGTTGCTTTATAAAGGGAAATTACATTATAGTTAGTAAATACTAGTAATCACATCGTATTCAATCTAGAAATTCTCAAATTCGGTGTAACCTGTCGAATCAATTTCGAGCAAACCTCTCTCTCTCTAAGGGTAGCATATTACTACGGTATAAATTACCACAGGGGTTGATTGCTTCGACATAAGCCCTTCTTAGACCTTCAAATTTCATATTTTTCAAGATAAAATTAAACTACGTCTTGATAATACAGAAATATATTACAAAATTTGTTATAAAAATGAAACGATCAAATTTTCTTTCCCATAAGAACATTTATAATCCTTAAAACCCTTTGATCCAACCCGCAACAAAATAAAAAATAAGAACATTAATATAATAATCATTTATAACAATTGATTAAAACGTAAGAATCATATAATGCATCAACCAATGTGCTAAGTTCAACATATAACTACTATTAGAGACGAACGAGAATCCTCTGTCGGAAAGTTCAAACGAGCGTCGAACCGAAAATTGACCCCCAGGCCGATTGGTTCGACCATTCGGTAGTCTAGCGTACGCATATGAGGGTGGTGGTATGGTCTGGTCTCGTGAGAGAGGGGTAGAAAACAATTAATCAACGATATACGTTCCCCGTTTGCTACACGGTTCGAATATTCTGCATATGATAGAAAGAGAGAGAAACAAAAAGAGATTGAATGAGTAAAATGAGTGAGTGAGTGAGTAAGAAATAGATAGATAGATAGATAGATAGAAAAGGATACTAAACGTGGGATTAGAAAGAGAAAGATAGAAGTTATGAGCAACCGGGTGCTTGTGGAAGGTTGTGGAAGCTTGTGGGGGGTTTTGGGAAGGTTATGGGGGTAAGAGGTACGGCGTGACTGATTCATTATGAGACTGTAATTAAGTTCTGGGGTATTAGCATACCGACAACGTCGGCTTTAGCCCTCTCCAGTCGACTGGGAACGACTTGACCCGGCCCCAGGGTAAGGTGCTTCCTATGCTAACGAGATCGTCGTTGTCGTCGTCGTCGTCGTCGTCCCTTGCACGCCACCTTCTTGGTAGCCCAGAAAAAAACTGCGCATTTATTCCTCCCGATGTCGAGCGAATCTACCAACCCCCACCATCACCACCTCCCACTACTACTAACCCTTTTTTTCTTTTGCTAACATACCATGCCAGTAACACCCAGTGCAAGTAGTGCCAACATTGCCACCCGTTATACGAGTTATACCAGTACGATTATTATTATATTCCCCCACGACCATTAGGAACTCTCATCTTCCTCCTCCTCCTCCTCATCCTCTCTTTTTTCACCCTACCTACCAACACCATTACTAGCAAGACGCGTATCTCTTAATTAGCCAACGAAAATCCACTGTGAAAGTGCCACCGCACGAAACTCTCGTACTCGTTATCAATTCACCCTGGACCTACCAACTTCCTCCTATGGTCAACTCTCTCTCTCTCTCTCTCTCTCTCTCTGTCTAATTTTTTGATTACTTTTTTATTTTCCTCTTTATATATACTTTCTCATAAAATATTTATTTAATATAATTCTAAATTATTTAATTTTAGGTTTTCCGTATTCGTTAGTAACTTTCCTTTCCCTTTTCTTCTTCTTCTTTATACGTTTCACCCTTCAAAACCCTTTATTATCGAACCCTTCTTGTACGAAATAAGATTAATCAAAGGACAATATTTTGTTGAATTTTTTAGCAAGCTGAGGTGGAGGATGGAGGAGTTGGAGACGCTGGAGAGTACGGAGTGCCCGGAATGTCCCGGGCCACCCCCTGAATTCCGGTTGCCACCACCCCCTCGGCCACCTTTCCTCACCGAGGGAACCTTCTGCTCGGAGGCGCCCTTAGCCGAGCTCGAGGACTGCGTTGCCATTCCGGTAAGTCATTTTTTTTTGTTTATTCCTTTATCATTAAATGATAGAACTGAAGAAGAAGACATCTAGTAACTTTTTACAAAAATTCTCTAAATTGCAGATATTGCGATGTAGTTTTGAACTAGGATCTGAAATAAAGTGCTTGGGTGTTTGAAGAGTTAGTGAAAAGGTTTTAATATAATATTATTCACGTATATGACTATTATCATCGAACTGTAGAAGAAGACATCTAGTAACTTTTGGGAACCATGTATTTTTGTGTCTCTAAATAGTAAATTTCGTTAATACTCGCGATGTAGTTTTGAACTAGGATCTGAAACGGGGCGGGTGGGTAGATGGGGAATGAGTGAGTGAAAAGGGTAAAGGAAAAGGTTTCAAACGTAACATAGTTCGCATTATGCAGTTCGCGTATACTCGCTCGGACGCTTTTCCAACCGGCTTATATCGATTTCTCTCGGTCGATGTTAGCTAGCTAGCTAGCTGGTAGACGAGTTATATCTTTTCCTATCATTCTCTTTCTCACTCACACTGTTGTAAAATTCTCTCACTATGTTTCTGTCTCTTTCTCGTATCAACGGCCGGAGTATTTGCCCGTGGTATTCGGGTATTCATGAGCAGGTACATACGAGAATCCGAAGATCAACGATGCAAGCCACCTGGGAATACTGAAATTCGAAGAAAGAGTGATAGTGTGTGTGTGTGTGTGTGTGTGTGTGTGAGAGAGAGAGAGAGAGAGAAAGTGAGATGCCATAGTTGAAAATGTGTCTGTGTATGTGTTTCCACCCTTTCCACAGTTTCACCATTCCTTTACTCGTTTTGCATGGTGTCTGTTGGGTAGGTTTGATGCTAGTTTGGTTCTCGTAGTCTTCTAACATTCAGGTTGGCTGGGTAGCAGAGGGGGTTAGGAAAGAGGGAAACAAACGGAAAAGGACTGTCGAGTTAGGCTAATAAATCGTATCATATCAGGGTGTTCGACTGGAAAGCATGGTGCAATTGTAATGCCGCAAGAATTCGACGGATCCGTTGTTTCCGTGCCACCGAATTTGTAGGACTGGAGAGAGGAGGGGAAGTGGTAACCATTATAATACAAAGTTTCAAGTTTTAGAATTCTCCTCCTTACTTCGATACGTTTCAGTAGTCTCTTCCCTATCCCTATTCCCTTTTCCACCACCCCCGCCTATCTCTTTCCGTTCAATCCCTTATCCGAAATGTCTCGGAACTCGTAGTTGAATTCCCTTTCTCGTTCTCAAGTCTCTTATCGTTTTACGACGAGTTATTATTTATTATCAATCCCCCTCCTCTGCCTCCATTTATTCGTTGTTCAATAAACTTTATAATAATAATAATAATAATTATTATTATTATTTTATATGATAAGAGATATTTAATTATTTATTATTTTTGTTTGTTAATTGTTTATCTTTAACATTAGATTCGAAGGAAATTTTGTAGGACTTGAACTTTTTTATAAGAATATAAACCTTTAAACTTTTTATAGGAATATTTTGTTAATTATTTTGTTAATAATTTAAAAAATATTATTTAAATGGAAGATTGATTAGATGGAAGGAATTAATATTTAGGCATATATTATTACATTTATAACTTGTTCAATGCAAAAGTAGCAACCATCGATGAAGAATATCGATCAATTCAGGTGAATTAGAACGAATCGAAGTACGGTTAGGCCTTATCGATTAATCGATAAATCAATAAATCGATATCGATCGACAACTCGTAACAGGTGGCGAAGAAGAAACGATGAAAAGAGAATGGAAAAAGGAAATGGAGATGGAGTGACTCTGCTAGAGGAAAGAAAGGGGGAAGGGTTGAGGGGGTAGGGTGGGGTAGGGTAGGGTGGGGTTGAGGGGAACTCAGCAATCTACCGTTTCTCGATTCGTATCGAAAGAAGTCGATAGATTCTAGAGCTTCTTCTTCTCTTCACCCAGTTTCTCACCGAAGAAACCGCCCCCGTCCCCACCCATCCCCTCAACCCACGTCTCTTGAATTGAATAAAAAAAATAAAAGGGTATGGGAGATAGAAAATAAAATAGTTCGAGAAAAAGGGATAAGTTTCGTTCACCTAATCGTTAATCGTTTAAACGTTTAATGTTCTTCGAATGTAGAAATCTTCATTAAACGGGATAACTGGTACTTATCTTTTCTCTTTATTTATGTGTTTTATTTGTTAATTGTTCTATTGTCTTGTTTTTTTTTTTTTTTTAATCTTAATCCTTTTAATGCAATTAAAAATATATATAGTAGTTGTTTTCTCGTTTCTCAATGTTTTAATCGTATTTGAAATAAGGGATAGTTTTTCTAATGAAATATTTATTAGAGTATATTTTTTGATATTTTTTATTTTATATTTTATATTTATATTATATTATATTATATTATATTTTATTTTATTTTTTTAATCGTGGTATTGGTATATCTATTGGAATTATTAATTTACAAATCAAATATTAATTTTATTAATTTATTAAATTAATATATATATATTTACTAATTATATTATAAATTTTATATTTAATATATATTAAATATATTATAAAAAGCAATCAAATATTAATTGTATTAATTTAACAAATATTATACTTTAATTAATAAAATATAATTAGTTGTGTAACAAATTAAATGTTGTGTCAAATAAATCCAAAAATAATTGACATCAATTTAATAGTGTATCCATCTTCCCATTCTATCATTAGAAAAATCTTTCATTAGAAAACTATTAGATAATATAATCCTAGACGAATACATTAGTTAAATAAACATATAACAAAGTATGTATAAGAAAACATCGTTATTTCTTTCGTTAGAATTATTTTTCTTCTTCGAACAGTTGATAAAAAAAAAAATGAAACAAAAATCATATGATGACTATATATATACATACACATACATATACATTAGTTTTACTTAGCGCATACTAAATGCAAATAAAGAATACTTCATCGTCAGACCTGAAGATGAGTTAAACAGAAAATAAAACAAAAATAATAGGTGAGAAAGAAAGCATGAATGAAAAAGAAAAAATAAGAGAGACAAAGAGAGAGAGAGAGAGAGAGAAAGAGACAAAGAAAAAGAGAAGTAGAATGAGTGGTAGAGATGTAGGTGGATGAAAAAGAAAGGGGAGGGGAAAACAGCAGTATACATTTTGATGTATGCGTCTTCGGCGCAGGGGTGATGTTAAAAAAAAAGAAAAAAAAAATAAGAAAAAAAAAAGTGTATTTACTTAGACGGGCGCCATCCTTCCGTCGGTATCTCTCTCTCTCTCTCTCTCTCTATCTCTCTCTCTCTCTCTCTCTCTCTCTCTAATTCTCATGGTTCTTCTTTAGCATATCCTCTATCTGTTCATCTTCTCATCCCACCTCCGGTGGGTACACTCCTTCTCAAAATCACACACTACGAATAAGAAGAAGATGAAGGGATGGAAGACAGGAATAAGGGAGGGGGTTTTGAGAGGTTAGGAAGGGATAGGAGGACAACGACCAAGAAAAGATACAAAAACTGGTAGATGACTATTAATAGAGAACACGTGTCTCTCTCTCTCTCTCTCTCTTTCTCACTCTCTCTCTCACTCTCACTCTCTTGTATTTGGTACGTGCATGTATATACCAACGGGAGTCATTATCGCTCGACGATTTTACATCATTACGCGTAATTGGAGACCCTTCCAACTACGAGAACGACGAACATGAAGATGATGATGATGAAGAAGAAGAAGATGAAGAAGAAGATGATGCTGATGAAGATGAAGAATAAAAATATGACGGATGTCGCGTTCCATTCCGTTATTTTGAAAAAAACACTACTACTACTTTACTTTTTGCAAAATGTATTGCAACAATTTCTATTCTTTTATTTTATATTTTTTTTTTTTTTTTTTTTTTTTTNTTTTTTTTTTTTTTTTTTTTTTTTTAGGGATTTTATTGTTTCTATAATTTCGTGACGATGATTCGCGTTGTTTTTTTTCTATTTTATTTTCTTTATTCTTTCTATCTATGTTTTATGATACAAAGATTGATGATTAAAAAGAAGGCTAAGTGAGAAACGAAATTATTCGTAATAATAATTAGATTATGGTGTTTGTATTTTTTATTTCATTTATTCGAATAGTTTTAGAAAGATTTTTAAATTATATATCGTTGACATAACCTAATTTTTTCGATCGTATTTTTAAAATTCCAAATTGAAGTATACAAATATAATGAAACTTCTTGAAAAAAAGAATTATAAAATAAATAAACAATAAAACAATATAAATATATATATATATATATATATTGAAATAACCTATTAGCAAGTGTAAAATAATTATTGTTGTTTTTATCGACGATGGATAAAACACATTTTTTTCTTTTTCTTGTAAATTAATGATAAAGCGCGAATATTAACCCAAAATATTCGTGTTAATTCCACTTAAATTCACGTAATACCGCATTAAAGCTAATCGATCTCAAATTCATACAGTACACCATATATATATATAAATATATATGTATATACAATATGAAAAGCCTGTACCGCGTATAATTACACCTCATAGCGTCATGCCATTATGCGAAAGGATTTTAATACACCTCGCGAACCATTGGAATATGAGTATGCTCCACTCGCGCAAGGGAAATCTTAATAATTATCTAATATTCCAAATGTATATAAGACGCCTTTCATACACCAATAGTACCAACTAACACACACACACATACACACCCTCAACACGTACAAAATATTTCTACCTATACAAAAACACCTAGAGACATATATATTAGAAATTTACAAACACATAAGGGTACACGTATAATATTAAATGTACATATTTACATAGATTCACATACACATATACACACATAGACACACACATACACAGGGACATGTAGATAATATTTAACGGAGCGAATGCAAATCCCTATGTACTTGAAAGGAGGAAATCCCTCGTGGTTTTTGTGTCTTCTCATTTGACTTTACGGGAAGGGAGGAGTGGAGAGGGAGGG